TATTCCTTAAATAGTACAAATTTTTTTGTAAACATTTTCTTACACATTTTAGATACTATTAAACGTAACAAATATTTAGATGTTATATTTCTCGTGATTTATTTTACAATTAGTATAAAATATTTTTATAATCTATTTTAAATTTAACATACATTATAAAGTTTTTGAAAAAACTGGATTTCCTGGAGTAATCGGCGTTCTTGACGGAAGTCACATAGCTATTTTTCCACCACACAGTGAAAGAGAACATTTATTTATTAACAGAAAACTGTATCATTCCATAAATATGATGATTGTATGTATTAATAAAAATACCTTAGTTCCTAATAGAGATATTTANTATAAACAATGCAAATATTGTTTTATAATAATATTAAATACAATGAGTAATTATNTAGAAATATTATTTATGTTTATAATAGTAATATAATTATTTATGTTTATANTATTTGTTTTGTTAGATTTCTTCATATAATAGTAAAATATTGGCAGTAAACGCAATGCATGGAGGAAGAACACATGATTCAAGAGTTTTTCAATCTTCGAGTATTTTTTATTATTTACAAAGACAACAAGAAGCAGGTGAAAAAAGTTCTTGGCTTATANGTAAGATATTATTCATTGTTTAATATTCATGCATGTCACACTCTTTAATATTGATTATGATAAAGTAAAAGTAAAATTCTATTTTTTAAATTTTGTTGATATATGTATCATATATGTATATATGTTGTTTTAATATACTTTTTTAGGAGATGCTGCATATCCACTCATGCCATTTCTTTTGAAACCGTTTAAGAATCCGCCAGCAGGATCACCGGAAGCAAACTATAATGAACACATAATTAAAGCACGTTCTGCAGTAGAAAGATGTATTGGAATTTTAAAAGGACGATGGCGTTGTTTAAGAAAAGAAAGAGCATTGCATTATAAGCCAGAATTTGCAGGTATTAGATATAATTTAGATTATAAGAAAAAAATACAGTATTACAATATATTTATATGTTAAATATATAATATATTAAATGTTTATATTATAAATTGTTTTTTGTTTACTTTTTTCAGCATATATTATAAATGCGTGTTGTATTTTGCACAATATTGCTATAAAGTGGAAAATTCTTCCAGATGAAATATATTTGGAAGAAGTGGATTATGAGTTACCATTACTATATGATAATATAAATAATACTGCAGAACAAATAAGAAGAGACATTGTTCGGTGGTATTTTGCAGAATAATTTTATTGTTCGATGTACATATGTATATACATAGTTTTATGAACAATAAAGTTTAAATATTTTCTTAATATGTTAATTTATTAATTGCACCGCTTTATATTTTTTAATATAAATATAAAAAAATAAACTGAATATCTTATTCTTTGGAAATTTTTTAAAGAAATACTCTAACTTTTAGAAAAATACTGGCACAAATACATTTATATAGTACATTTACTTTACTTATGACAAGTAAAAAAGTAACTCTTGACAATTATAGTCATCTAACATAGTTATCTAACATTATCTTAATTGAAATAAAATTCATATTTATGATATGATTGCAGCAATATATCACATATTTAGTATGCAATAAGTTCGTTTGTAACTAATCTCATTATTTGTAAAACAGACTTGGTGTCCAAAAGAAAAAATAAACTTAATTAATATGTAAGATATTTTGTCTGCTTATGCCTTCAATGTTTTTTACGAATTATAAAGTTACAATAAGACTTGCTTACTGAAAGACAAAGACCTCGTATTATAGATGTGGCGGTCAGAAAAACCACCACCAGAAAAATAAAGTTACGTACGGCAGGACGCGCAGTTCGCGCGCCGCCGCTACGTGGCGCATGACCGCGAGTGTCGCGCGGAAGTATCTATTGCCGCGGCGTCTACATATATGGACCCGCTCGGCGCATATCTATCGCCGTACAGTGAGCGGGATCGAAGCAGAAGACCAGCGGCATTAATCCCGAAGCACCCAGCTACGCTTCAGCGGTCCGGATCATTAGACCAACGCCTCCACGATCCCCAGGGGTACACCTCGGAGCGGTCTTCATCTCGGAACCATTTGGAGTAGCAGAACCAGAGGCGACCAATCAGAAAGCGGAATCCACTGGACCAATAGAAGAGTCGTTCCGGCCGTGGATACTCCGACCTCACAACATACCTTCGCCTCGGCGAACGCGGCCTCCTAGAGCCCTGCTGGTACAGTGGGACATCAGGGTCCGGAGATACACGTCACCTAGAGACAGCCTGGTTCTTCCACCGCTCATCTCACCAATACCTTCTCCTCCACGCCAAAGGATTCACAAATCGACGCAGACACTTCCCACCTTGCGTACATAGAGGGGTGCAGAGAGAACGACTGGTATATAAAGATCAGTCCACGCAGTCGAGCGACAGTGAATGGGAACGATTGCCACGGAAAGCTATCTCCACAGCAGTACAGACCGAGATCACCGGCGAGATCATCCCGCAGAGCAAACCGGAGAAGAAGCGGCAGCATAGAGCGAGAAGCCGTTCCAGACATCGATCGCCCAGTACCAGGAGAGCTCACTCTCGCAGCAGACGAGATCGATCACGGCATCGCAAAACTCGACGGAGAAATTCGGCACATCCAATTATACAAACCGGCTCTTGTCAGAGCCAAGTATACCTTGTAAATAGTCTGTAAATACCTCGGAATAAAAACCTAATTTTTGGAACATTAAACTTCATCAAAAGAACCACACCTCGGCCGCCATCCTTTTGCTGCTATCACCACTGCTGCTATCCACCATTGCTGCTGACCTAAACACTCAACCCCATTAAAATAGACTTATAAAAACCTCAAGTTTTAAATTACGTAATACTTAAATAATATACAGTCTTCAACAAAATAAACTGAATAAGAATAATAATATACGTATTCATCACAGCATAGATAATGCATCTTTAATATTTTAAAACTTTTCTTGTAAGTATTGTCCAATTAATTCTTCTCTCAAATATGATATTTGATTATTCATATTTTGCAGCTGTTGCAGTATTTCTTTATTAATAGTTAATTCTTTATTAATTTCAATTTTTCTTGTTTTAATTCCAACATTTTTTGTTTAATGTTTTCAAATGTAGAAGATTTTTTTTCTAGCAAATCAATTGCAGTTGCCATGAGTCGTGGCTTTTTTACATCTAGATAATATATAAAAATTTACTTAAAAATATTACTATTAAAAATATTAGTTATTAAATAAACTATTATTAAATAAAAAATATTACTATTATAAAATTATATACTATAATTTTCATACCTTCTGAATATTTTGCTTATTTATGAGGTGCTTCGAAAAAGCTCTTGTTTCATGATGTTCCTATCAATTACCAAAAATAAAACAAATACCAAATAGTGATCACAATAATATATCACAAATCTGTTATGATTATAAAACAATATGTATGTGTATCTATAATACTGTTTTATATATACCGATATATTGTTTTTATTTTCAATTTGTATATCTTGTATATTCTTTTTATGAATCAAAATATCTCTCTCTTCCTATATTTGATTGGATATTTTTAGCTACAACTAGTTGTCTTTTTTGTTTTGTACAAGACTGTGGTGAATCTATTGAATCCTATTAAGTAAAAGGAAAAATATATTAAATATATATTAATTTCTATTTCTAAAATAAACAACATTTTACACACACAGTAATTGTAATAATTTTTTATATACATACCCAAATTTTCTTATTATTTTCAAGTTGTGCATGTTTCTTCTGTAGAGTACAAGATTGCATTTGATATAAATCCATTTCTGATATTTCATTTAAAGACATTTCTTGTGTTTCTTCTAATTCTATGTTATATGACAATACAGAAAGTTCATTATAACTAGAACTTGACATTATATCTTCAATTCCACCTTCTGGTATTCCTGTTAATCCACTAGCATCTGGTGTCAAAAAATCTATTAAAGCTTTTTCTATACCAGTTAACTGTAGATGTTTCGATGAACCACCACCAGTGCTCATCATATAAGTCTTATGTTTAGCAACTTTTTTTAAAGTATTAGATTTCCAATCTCTCCATGTCTAAAAAACAAAGCGTAATAAATTTAGTGTGAGCAATAACTAAAAAAATTTGATATAGTAAAATAAGAACCAATAAACTTGCTTTGACATTTTGTAGTATAAAAAACTATATAAATTATTAGTATACCATAAAGATTACCTTAGACCATTCTTTAGCAGATTTATATGGTCCACACGCCGCGGTATTTAATATCGTAGACAATTTCTCCCAAAGTTCATCCTATATACATTTAAATTTAGATAAGATAAAAATGAAAAACAAAACTTACACAAAAACAATATTTATAAAGGAACATTTATATATAAATATCTAATTAATATAAGAAATATAATTACCATTTATAATATACTTACAATTTTTCGTTTATTTTCGCTATTATATCGTAAACGTCCCCGACCAAACTCGGGATGATCTTGCATAAAACAGATAATAATTTCTTTTTGCTTTTCAGTAACCATTTATACAAGATTATTTGCATTTTGTATATAAAGGATCCCGGATACCCTCCCAAATTAATTTAAAATATTGCGAAAAAAACTCCTCAGCAAAAAGTCGAACCTGGAATCTCCGGCTTTCCGGGCCGTCGCTTTCCCTGTTAGGCCACCGAAGCACTTGGATCTAGCATCCTATATGATTTAAAAGAATTGAAATTACAATTCAAAAACTCACATGAAAATGTGAATTTGTTTATATTTGTACACATATGTATATATATATATATATATATATATATGTATATATATATATACAGACATATTTTTCGCATATTTAGCGAACGGCGCTTCAAGACCAATTATATTCATTGGTTAGTTTAAAAAATTATGATAATATTTGTAACAAATCCGGCTTTAATTAATTTAACTTTTATGGACCTCGTCTAACTAACAAACTATTAGTAAACCACACTCATTAAACAACTCGTTTATTTCTCGTTAAATCGCGTGGTTCCGTTCTTGGTAATTGAGACTTGCGTCTTAGACCTAAAAAGGAACCGACGAGTGAGAATACGTTAGACAGAGAAAAATTGGGTAACTCCGTTGGCCTGTCTGTGTTGCCGAACTGTCTCGCTCGACCCGCGCATTCCTGACTTCCTTCTTTGTGTCAGTGTGCCGAGACAGACTTCACGTTTGCTTGAATGTGTCAGTGCGTCTGTTGCGTACTACCACTAATTCCCGACCGTAATCACAGGCTCAGGATGTAACAGATTCATTGAAATTGTGGGGGCTTGTCCGGGATGTAATAACGCAAATTTGAGGAATAGAAATGACTACGAGGTCCATGACCGACAAAGACGAACAAACGGTGTGTGCTTCGCGCGATGAGCTTGACGAAAGTATTATTAACCCTTTTGCTTCATTCACATCATTACCTCGCGCACTGTTACAATCGACTTCGAGATTTAGCGATAATGATCAAACCATCGTCGGTCCATCCGGTTTGCTTGACAACGAAAGTTATACACTGACTATACCTGATACAAAAAGAGATTTAGTAGATATAAACGATACTAAGCTTAAGAGTGTATTGGAGCTCGGCCTGGAAACTGGACAGAGACATGTAAACCGACGTTTTAAAAACATAAATTTCTCTAATTTTTAAGTTTTGTTACTGCATGACATAAAAAGTGGTTTTATAGAAGCAAATACATATAAACAACTATTTAGTGCTTTTGACAATAAATATATAATGCCTTTTGAAACTCTTTTTTTATTTATAATGATAGCATATGATAACCTATACTGTCATCACACTAAGACGTTGTTCTCATCAATTAGATTGTCATACCATATCTGAATGTCTCAGTAGATTCGTTTTTGTCGTATCTGTGGCGCTTGTTCATTGTAAATATGTACATAAGCTTAGAAATAATTTTACATACATGACTATATAGTGAGGTTATAGAAGGAAACTGTATAAGAAAAAATTTGTGCTGAATTTTGACATTCTAAAGAACAAGCGTTAATTCTTAGCACTATTTGTTTATTTCTGTAGAAGCATTTTAGATTTGATGCAGTAAATACGATTTCAAAGGACTTAGGAGAAACGTCGGTTTACAGGTCTCTATAGTCTATATCCAGTACCCTCTTAAGATCCTGGCGCATCGAGCTTCTAACCCTTTCGCTACCCTTAAATACGTAGTTGAAGCCGTACTTTTTTTTGATGGAACAAATATTGAATTATTTTATCGAAAGATGCGAGGAAGCTAAATCTATGCTTCCAAAAGAAGCAGAAAGTCAATTTACAAAAGTCATAAGAACGCGGATAGTAGGTTCTCTTAAAAGCGTGTATCAATTGCAAGGAGAATTAGGATGTATTTATCAAAAAGGCAACAAAGATGTAATTACTTATGCGAAGAGTAAAAATGCTAGGTAAACAGATATTAGAAGCTTATGAAGGAGCAGATGAGAGCTCGCGTATTCAAAACCTTAAAACAGATTTAGAGAAAGATATGTGCAAATGTTTTATACGTGGATTGAAACCGGAGATTGAACAACGAATCTCCAGAAATTTGGATGTTCAGAGAACTGTAGCTGACGTAGTTCCCTTTCTATTACGAATAGAAAGGGAACTACGCACTATTAACCGGTTAACTGGCAGGGCTTTTTTTACTATTCATGCTCGAACTGGCAACATAAAAAAATTAAGTGAATCTTACAAGATTTGGTATACAAGAGTTTTTTGAGTCGCTGAATCGATTTCGAGAGTTATTTTTTTGATTTGATACTCTTCAACCCCTAAACAATAGAATTTAGGGGTGAGTTTTTTTAATTCTTTATTAAACATTTTTTTTGTTCTGTCGCTTTTATTGCGGAATAAATAAGGGTTTAGAGGGGTAATTTTTTAGTTTTTTTATTTTCTACGAAACAGTTTTGAATAATTTTATACCTGAATTCTTTCTTTCTTTCTTGAAAATCTGATTTCAGATTTGACAGCCATTTTGAGTCTGCCATATTGAAATTAAAAATTCCAATGCTAAATTCAGATTCAGCGACCCCAAAAACCCCTATATACAATTTTTTCTAAATCCCGATAATATTTTAATATTTGGCAGTCATGTTGGGTCAGCCGTTTTGAGTCTGCCGTATTGAATTTTACAATTCCAATGTTAAATTCAGTATCAGCGACCCCAAAAACCATTATATATCAAGTTTCATTCAAATCGTTTGAAAATCAAGAAAGTTATTCCATTTGAACGTATATGATACATAAGTAGAAGTGACCAGATTATTTTTTGATCATATATGATACATTGCCAGTTAACTTGGTAATGACATACGCCAGGGAAAACACGTTAACTCGAGTACTGACAAGACGCAAGCCATAAACAAGAAACTTGTGACGGGCACCCCGTCACCCTAACAATGTAATATATATTTACACATAATATATTTATATCTATACAGATATCTACAGCATAGTATTATTACCCGTCTGCAATTAGCCCGTTACATGGCGCCCGAACAGGGACCGTTAAAATTTTAGCCCGGTTGACATTGCGACACGTGAGGGCGTGATGCCACGCACGAAAGCGTGGATTCACACTCTATCAAAAGAACAGTTAGTAGAACTTGCGAATTAATTTAGGATAGACGCATTCGGATCCATCGACGACTTGCGCCGTCGACTAAAAAGTTACTCCGACAGTCACCCGACCGAATTTGTCGATAGGAACCCCGACCTGACCGATCGACCGCCCCCGCGTGCCGCCGAAACTAGCGAAATGGACGAGGTAGAACCCAACGCGTTGCCAGCTCGCGCCGGCGAAACCATGAATCTCGTTAGGAAATGGGGATGCCGGTTTACCGGCAAAGATCCGCTCGCGTTTCTTGAACGGGTGGAGGAACTCCGTTGCGGGTATGGACTCACACATGATCAGCTGCTGCGGTGTTTACCCGAGCTGATCACCGGGGAGCCGCTCCTGTGGTACCGTAATAATCGGGATTTTTGGGACTCGTGGGACGAGTTTGTCGCGGACTTCCGGCTTTGTTATTGCCCGCATTCCACCCAGGCCGCGTTAGACAAAGAGATCCGCGATCGGATACAGGGGCCGGACGAACCATTCCCCGCATACGTGACCGCGTTACAGACACTAATGCGCCGACATGGGGGGCTTACCGCGGTCCAGCAGTTAGACCGGATCTACGAAAATATGAATCCGAAGTACCACATGTACCTACCGCGGTCCGATCTTAAGAGCGTAGCTCAGTTACTGCACCGGATGGCCGAATATGATCGCATTGAGCGTAACAAGGCCGACTATCAGGCACGAACCGCGCGAAAGAAAACCGGCCCCAGTTCCACCAGCACCGCCGCCGCCGAGGCCAAAAACGCTATGATCAATCCAACCTATAAGCGTAGCAAGTGCTGTTGGAATTGCGGGCAGCGTGGCCACCAGAAATCCGAGTGCAAGCGGCCGTTCCGGAAATTTTGTTCCTCTTGTGGGAAGACCGGAGTATTAACGCGCAATTGCCACCCACCGGGAAACTGGCCCGCGGCCGGGAACGGAAAAGAGTAGGCCCGGCCGAATTCGACATCGTGTTTAACCCGCGACCAATGGTTACAGTTAGTATCCTGGGGCGTAAATTCTCGGCGCTCCTGGACTCTGGGTCGTCGCGCTCCTTTATTACCGAGGAAGTCGGGCGACATTGCCACGAAAATAGGTACCGCGCTCAGGACGAAGCCATGCCAATCCGATTGGCCAATGGCGCTGAGACACCAATCCACGAGTGGTATAGCATACCGATGCAGATCGGGCGGACAAAGACCGTGCAGCTATTCGGCGTGATGCCCGATCTGACCGTGGATATCCTAATTGGGGTGGACATAATGGTGGAATTAAATATCGGGATTCCGGCACCACCAAAGCGCCAAAAGTCCGCCGTTTGCGGAAGCGCTACCGCCGCCGAGGACGAAGCCAAGGAATTCTGGAAATTCCTAGCCGCCGAATTACCGAAATTCGACACCGTTACCGGACCGACCTCCGTTACCGAACACCGTATCCGACTAAAAACCTCTGTCCCGATCAAACAGAGGTACCGGCCGCGAAATTCTGCTATGCAGGCACTAATTGATCGGGAGATCGAGGAGATGGAACGCGCCGGGGTCATAGAGCCGTCTAATAGCCCGTGGAGCTCGCCGGTGGTCATTGCAAAAAAGAAGGACGGCCGTCCGAGATTTTGCATTGACTTCCGGAAGGTGAACGAGATTACCGAAAAAGACGCCTATCCACTACCGCAGGTGGAGGCCACCCTGGATAAGCTCTGCGGCGCGAGGTACCTGTCAACAATAGACCTGAAGAACGGGTATTGGCAGGTGCCTCTCGCTCCCGAAAGCCGACCGATAACCGCGTTCACCGTTCCGGGACGCGGTTTAATGCAGTTCAAGGTAATGCCCTTTGGACTGCATTCCGCACCAGCCACTTTCCAACGGCTACTCGACATTATTCTCGGGCCCGAAC